TGATTGATTGACTGATTGATTGACTGATTTGATTTGATTTATATACCACCTATCTGGCAGCCAAGGCCAACAGAAAATAATAGAATAACAAAGTATGACATCAATAAATTAAAAAAGTGCAAAACAAAATGCCATAAAATACAGGGAAGACATTGTGCAACACAGTATAGAATACAGGAATACAATACATTACATTCAAAAGCATAAAAACATTTTTAAAAAACACGTGTGTATAGGCACCAGAGATTGTGTGTCATGGTGCTTTATTTCCTACTTCTTTTCTATTTTTTGGAAATCGCCAAACTATATTGGTAGCTTTTGTTGTTGTTGGGATTTCTAAGAATTAGAAAGAAAGAAAGAAGGAAAGAAGCCCAAGGAAATGCAACCTCTTTCCTTCTTTCTCTCTGATTTTCTTCTTAAAGGGGAGAAAAAACACCCCTTCTGCACAAAAGACATTTTATACAAACGGCAATGGGAGTCTGACGGGTGTGTGTTGCGGGAGGGGACAGGGGAGAGATTCTGGCCTCCTCTCCTAGTGGATGCCACAAAGCCCCCTCATGGCTTCAGAAGTGGTCAGTGTCTTGTCTCTTGTCCAGATAACCAAAAATTCCCAGGGCTAGGATTTTTTAAGATGTTCCTTGCGCCCTTCCTTTGAAGGAGGGTCTTCCGGAGAGTTGGGGCATTGGGGGGGGCCTTACACAGCTGCCACCTTTCGGTTCTCTTCCCTTTACTTGGGCTGCTCCAGCAACTGGAAACCCCTGCTTTCGGGTTTCTCTGGTCCTCCCAGCCCTTGATGGGACCATCACTGGGGGGCATCTCAAAGAAAGGCAGTGCCAAAGAATGCTCCAACTACTGTACAATTGCACACATTTCACATGCTAGCAAGGTTATGCTCAGAATCCTACAAGGTAGGCTTTGCTCATTACCCCCAGGATTTTCATTTTTACCCCATTTGGGGTAATTTACCCCTGTTCCCAGACCACTGTCCTAAATGGCTTCTGTGCATACTTTCCACAATGTGGCCACCATTCCCTTTGTGCACAGATAAATCCTCAGAATTCCTCTGCCTGCTCTACCCACTCCAGCCAACTCCATTGATTTCCTCTTCTCTCTAAATAGACACACACAGGTTTGTTGGTTGGGTTGTTTGAGGTCTATCCCACCCATCTAGTGGCAAGCTACTCCTATGGCTGGCTTACATCAAGAGGAACCATACAACAAACCCTCAAAGGAAAGAAAGAAAGAACAAAATCACAACCAGTAATCCTTATTTCAAACATATAAATGCAAATCCTCAGATGGTGGTGATTCTAAAATCATTTTAAACAAAAACTAACTATTATTCAATTAAATAGGAAGCCGGTTGTTGGCGGCCTGGTGTGGCGTTTCACCACGTGGCCCCTGCTTGTTTCACCAAACACAGAGCTCACGCTGCATATCCCAACACAACCTTAACCACACTGCCTCCAGTTGATCTCTTTACCAGTTGTTTCACCAAACACAGAGCTCACGCTGCGTATCCCAACACAACTTTAACCGCACTCTTTACCACTCTTTACCAACTATGTTTCCTATGAAAGACTGAGGTCCATTCAGTACTTAACTTTGAAATAAGAACAGGTTCATTGGTTACAAGTTGTTTCAGGAATACTGTAGTTCTTGAGCACATTATTAAAGTTACACAAAGCGTTCAGTGTTTTCCTTTAACCTCTTCTATACTTAACTAATACAGATAACACTCTGATTATTCACTCCTTAAATTCTCTCTCTGCCTCAAAACCCAAACTACAGTGGTGCCTCGCTTAACGGGCCCCCATTTAATGACGAAATAGCATACCGACAGACGTTTTGCAATCGCTTTTGCGATCGCATCGCAATGTTTTAAATGGGGAAAAATCACTTTGCGATTATTGGTACCCTGTTTCGCTTACCGATCATCGCAAAGTGATGATTTTCTAACAGCTGATTGGCGGTTCCAAAATGGCCACTGGGTTAAAAAAAATGGCTGCCCACTGTGTTTTCGTGCAGATTCCTCGCTTACCGGGCAGCGAAAATGGCCGCCGTATGGAGGATTTTCGCTTTAAGATGAGTTTTAAGCCCATAGGAATGCATTGAAGGGGGTTCAATGCATTCCTATGGGCTTTTAAAAATCGCATAGCAACGAAATCGCTTTGCAGCAATTTTTGCTGCACGGATTAACGTTGCTATGCGAGGCACTACTGTATTTTCCTTTCTCTTCAAATCTCTCTCTCTGAAAGCTCCATCTCTCACACACACACACTCTGCTGTAGCCTTCCTTCTATCGAGCTGGCCCTGCCTCTCACGGGCTCTCTATGGGTTCATGCAAATGCCTTGCTAAATATGCATGACAGGGTGACCACAACAGCTGGCTAAAAAAACGTGTTTGTATTTGCCTCCAGAATGCCATGAGGGTCGGGGGGGCACCACTGAGAAGGCCCACCCCGAGCCCTTCTTGCATTGCAGCGGATTTCCTGGAACTTGATGTTCCACTCGAACTAGCCAAAGAGGAAAACAGGCGGCCTTCCCCTTGTCTTCCTGCACACACGCTATACAGAAGTCTGCTGTCTCCCCAAACCTTGATGGGTGGATAGGGCTTCTCTCCCCTCTGAAGAGAACGACTCCCTTGACAGTGATGAAGAGGAAGGGGCCTTGGGCCATGGACAGAATGCCTTGGCTGAATAGTACCGGCCAGGCGTCTTGAGCCCCACCGGGTTCAGGTCCGGGCCTTGCACATTGATGCCCAGATGTGAACTCCATGGTTTATCAAAGCTAAATGCTCTTGAAGCCAGAGAGACTCCACTCTCCATGTAAGCCAGAAAAGATGGCGGCCTGGCCCATGGGGGTGGGTGGGTGACCCAGCTACAGCGAGACCCCTCTCATTAGACTCTTTCCCCCTCCCACTCTTAAAACTTGTGCGCTCCCCTCATCACCAGAGAGAGAAGCCCAGAGTCACCACGTCCTGTTTCCTCTGTGTATGTGAGATAGAGAGAAATCCCTAAAGGTTTACCTTCTCAAGAAATCCCTCTTTTGCCCTGACTCTAGAGACCTTCATCTTGGGTTTTGGCCATTTGACGACTCCTTTTTTCCTCTTTGCTGCTTCTGCTTCATTGGACTTAATTGACTATCATTTGTTTCGTTTTTATGTGAGTGTTTTATTATATAGTTCGTTTGTCAGCTGCTTCACTAGAAATTGTTTAATCAGAGATTAAAGGAAGATCTTTTTCTCTTTTCTCCAGTCTGTACCAATAATGCTGTTCAGTAATCTTGAACAAACAGTCCGGCATACTATGGTTCAAAACTCCCTGTCGTTTCTCTTTATTTCCAGGGGACGGCCAAGTTGATTTTGATGAATTCATGACTATCCTTGGACCAAAACTGGTGTCATCAGAAGGGCGAGATGGTTTTCTGGGAAACACCATTGACAGCATATTCTGGCAGGTGAGTGGCAAGGCATGCCTTGTCTGTTTGTTTGGAGGAGGAGGTCCTCGGGGCTTCCTTTGCCCTTTCCAGAAGTCTTGACAGCAGCTATGAGGAGATCGCATTGGATTTGTCGTTGAGGCTGATGTCTCAGGATTTGAAGTTTACATGTCAAGAGTGGACTTGTTAAGCTCTATGGGATTTCTTGCCACTGGCTCAAAAATGAAAGGGGGCCTTTTCTGTGTGTCATCTGCAGTTTGTGCAAAATGTCTCAGTGCAACGCTGGTGAGTTTTTCCTTGGGTGAAGCAAAGCATAGGTGATCCCAGAAGGGACTGACTCATCAACCCAAAAGCAACAAACAACCCATTAGATGCTTCTAGTTTTTAAATGCCCATGCAGAAAAGCAGCAGCTAACCTAGTTTTGCTGTCCATTTCCCTCATTTTATATTAAAAAAATACTCATAGACGTGGAAGTTCTCATTGAGAGCAACAGAAGACATCTTTTCAGCTTGCTGGCAAGGGTTTTCTTTGCTTTTTCGTGTTCTTGCATGCAAGAATGAGCCAAGCAAGGCTCTGTCCATCAGGGCCCTTGAGGGGGGGGCACAGGTGAGAATTTTCCCCAGGGACAGAACGTCACATACAGAAGAATCAACATCAGCATTGCTGCACCTTTGCTAACTTTTTCCTTTCAAGATGCCACTCCAGAATTCTAATAGAAAAAAAAATTGAAAACTTCTCATGGAGCAACTGGTGTCATTTTATCACAATCTCATGAGCAAAATGTTACAGTCACAGGTAACACGAAAGGTGGCAACCTAGCCTCAGCCTAACTAGAATCAGACATTTTTATTATTACATTCAGGAAAGTGGGAAGTTGACTAAATATAATATTTACAAATTTCTCGATTCTTCAACAAAAATGGTTTAATGGTTGTTGTGGGTTTTTCGGGCTCATGGGGAAGTGGGAAATGGTTTATTCATTTTTGGAAAATGGTTTATTCATTCCCAAACTGGGGATTGACTCACCCGAGGAAGACAGGAAGACATTTCAAGGGGGCGTTGAGAAAAGTAGACGGAGGGGTGATAGGATAGCACTTTTCAAGTATTTGAAAGGCTGTCTTACAGAAGAGGGGCAGGATCTGTTCTCCATCATCCCAGAGTGCAGGATGACACACAACAATGGGCTCAAGTGAAAGGAAGCCAGATTTCTGTTGAATAGCAGGAAAAAACTCTTAACGGTTAGAGCAGTATGACAGTGGAACCAGTGACCTCGGGAGTTGGTGAGTGCTCCTTCAAGAAAAACTTGGATAATCACCTGGCAGATCTGCTTTGCTAGTATTCCTGCCTTGAGCAGGGGGTTGGACTTGATGGCCTCAGTGGCCCCTTCCAACTTCACTTTTCTATGATTCTATGAAGTCTGGACGAAATGAGTCAGGCAAGTGCAGAGAGCTGTGGGGGCCAGAAGTTGGCTCGAGAATGGAGGGGCCAGGTGGGACCAGGCAAAACCTTGCATTCAGACATGCAGAGCTTTCGTTCCTTGTTGCTGTTGCATCCGTCAGCGAAGGAGGAGGACGAATGTGTGCAGGTCCCTCGCTACCTGCAACTCATACACATACTGGCTCCCCACCCCACCAGTTATTATTTTTGAAGTCCATTTTCTCTCTCTCTGTCTGTCTGTCTGTCTCTCTCTCTCTCTCTCTCACACACACACACACACACACACACATACACACACACACATACACACACAATTTTATGCAAATCTGTGTCCTTCTTTTGGTCTCTTTCAGCACATTAGAAGAGCTGGCTCTTTCTTCAAGAGATGCCAAGTGACCAGCCATTTTGTCTGGGCCAAAAACTAATGCCCCTTCTCCTTGCCTCCATCCTTGTAAGGATTCTGGGGGTCTGGAGGGCAGGGCACCTGCTTGGTGTGAGTCATCTCCCGCCTGTTGCCTCTGAGCCTTTTCCCGCTTCCCCATGAGCCAGACACGCCTTGCCTGGTTAACAAGAATCAGAGGCTGAAATCCTGCTGGTGCTACTCGGACTGCACAGCAGTGACTATGGCATCATCAGCTCTGTGACGCCGCTGATTCAAGGCCTCCTTTGGGGTTTGGGGGGTGCACGTAACTTCATTGCATTGTATACAAGTCACATATACCCTACATTGCCTTTAATCTGTAGCACATGGCTACTGATGATGATGATGTCACCTCTGTTGCACAACCCAATTTCAGCCACAATACCCTACATTGCCTTTAATCTGTAGCACGTGGCTACTAATGATGATGATGATGTCACCTCTGTCGCACAACCCAATTTCAGCCACGGGATCCTCTTGAAAGAAAGACATTTGCTGCCCTTTCTCCCCGGATCCTGCAAGTTCCTACACATGAGGCTTGTCCACTCCACCGGCCCCCTGCCAGCTCCTTTCCAGGCCTGGGTTAAAGGCCAGTGGGAGTGGGGCTCAGGCCCCTCCCATTCTCCTGGGAGCAGGGCAGAGAGCGAAGGCCTCCAGAAACATCTGTTCGGGCAGGTTGGCTTCAGGTACTGCCTCTTCCTGGTACATCAGGAGCCATCGTTGCTTCCTTTGCTGGGGAGGTTGTATATTCGAGTGGGAGATGATACTAGGAGCCTGACCCCACTGACCACCCCCCCCCGCTAGCTTCAATTTCCTTGAAAAACCATGACACAAATTTTGGCGTACACACAAGGCAGGTGCAAATTTGTGCCGTGAGCAACCTTTTCTGCTCCTCTGCCAGAGATCGTTTTATTTTGTTGCAGATGTGGAGTTGATTCTTTGGAATGCCAAAGAACGACTCTCACGTGGTTTTGAATCGCCCTCCTTTGCATCCCTGAAGACAACAATGCAAACAATCAATGTCGATTTGGCTACTGGTCAATGTAGGCTCAGGTTAATGTATGAGAGCCTGGCGTGGATGGTGAGGGATCATCGCTAATCTCTGTGAACACAGAGCATGGTGGGTGAGGTTTTCTTTCCATGGTAGGATCCTCATCCGCCTTTACGCAGTGAGTGCAACCAGTCTTCCCAGCACTGGCACTCTTCGGCTGACCTCCATCCCAGGGAAAATTCTGGAACAGATCGTAAAGTGGTCATTGTGCAAGCACCTAGAAAACAGTGCAGTAATAACTAGAAGCCAGCACAGATTTGTCAAGAACAAATCCTGCCAAACTAATTTGATCTCATTTTTTTGATCAGGTCACCTCCCTGGTAGACGGAAGGAATGTTTAGACGTAGTATATCTTGACTTCAGCAAAGCTTCTGACAAAGTGCCCCATGAGATCCTGATTAGCAAGCTGGATAGATCAAGTGTCAGGTGTATCCACAATTGGCTACAGAATCATACTCAGAAGCTGAGGGTTAATGGGTCCTTCTCTAAGTGGGAGGGGGTCACAGGTAGGGTATCCCAAGGTTCAGTCCTGTGCCCAGTGCTCTTCAACCTTTTTTTTGAATCATCTGGGCCCAGTGCTCTTCAACCTTTTTTTTTAAATCAATGACCTGAATCATTGGGTGCAGGGAATGCTAATCAGATTTGTGGCTGACACAATATTGGGTAGAATTGCTAATACCCTAGAAGACAGAAACTAAATTCAAAATGACCTTGATAAGATGGAGCACTCGACTGAGAACAATAGAATGAAATTCAGCAGGGATAAGAGCAAAGTACTCTTCAAATTATCTACCGTGTTTGCCGGCGTACAAGACGACTGGGTATATAAGACGACCCCCCCAAAATTTCCACTCAAAATATAGAGTGGATGGTTCTGCTGCGGTGCCTGCGTCGAGGAAGAGGGGAAGCGGCTGGGTGGGCGACAGCAGAAGAGGAGGAGGAGAAGGACGAGGAGGAGGGGAAGCTCTCCGGTGGTGGGCGGGCGAGTGGGCAGCTGGCTCAGCCGGCGAAAGGCCTGAGGAGGGTGAGGAGGAGAAGGGGAAGCTCTCTGGCAGTGGGCAGGCGAGCGGGCAGCTGGTTCAGCAGCGCGGGGTGGCAGGCAGCCCGGCAGCGGGCTCTGGCCACTTAGGCATGGCTGGCTCTGCTTCCCTCCCTCTGTCCAAATCGACCAACCGCCTGCCTGCCCGCCCGCCTGCCTTCCTCCCCGGCCGGCGCGGCACCGCATCACTCACAGTGGCGGCTCCTTCTGAAGTGCACCCGGCGTATAAGACGACCCCCCCACTTGGAGGCATGTTTTTCAGGGGGAAAAGTCGTCTTATACGCCGGCAAATACGGTACTGCTTCTGTGAAAAAACACAGTTAACAAGATGGGGAATACCTGTCTCAGCAATACTTTGAGTGAAAAGGATCTTTGAGTCCTTGTAGAGCACAAGCTGAGTATGAGCCATCCGTGTGATGTGGTTAAAAAATAAAATAAAACGCCAATGCTATTTTATGCTGTATCAACAGAAGTGTAGTCTCTAAATCTCGTGAGGTACTGGTCCCCCTCTATTCTGCACTGGTTAGGCCTCATCCTGAGTATTGCCTCCAATTCTGGACATTTCAAGAAGGACACTGAGAAATTGGAACAGGTTCAGATAAGGGCAACAAGGAGGATCAAGCAGCTGGAAATCAAGCCCTAGGAGGAAAGACTGGAAGAACTGGGCATGAGAGAAAAAAAAGGCTGAGGGGACATACGATAATATTTTTCAAAGACTCGAAAGATTGCCATTCAGAAGGAGGAGCAGGATCTGTTATCCCAGAATGCAGGATACATAATAATGGGCTCCAAGTGACAGGAAGCCAGATTTCAGTTGAATATCAGGAAAAACTTCCTAACTGTTAGAGCAGTAGGACAGTGGAACCAATTATCTTGGGAGGTTTTGAGTACTCTAAGAGCAGTAGGACAGTGGAACCAATTATCTCGGGAGGTTTTGAGTACTCTAACACTGGATGCCTTCAAGAGAAACTAAGACCACCACCTGGCAGATATCCTTTAGTTTGTATTCCTGCACTGAGCAAGGGGTTGGACTTGATGCCCTCAGAGGCCCCTTCCAACTTTATGATTCTAT